GTCTATCTGTTTCCATGATGTCCTCGCTTTTTCAATTTCCGCTTGTACCGCTCGCCTCCATGTCATCTTTGGTCTTCCCTTATTACGCTTTCCTTGTGGGTTCCACGTTAATGCCTGCCTGATGATGCTTGTCGGGGGTCTCCTCAGGGTGTGTCCAATCCATTTCCATTTCTTCACCTAAATATCTTCCTTTACTGGCCTTTGGCTTGTTCTCTCCCACAGTTGAGCATTCGTGATTTTGTTGTATTTCCTGTAAAATTTGCTCTGCAGGTGTTTGATGGTCTTATCACAGGAGCTATGATTTGTTGATATTTTAAACTGTTTTACACAATGGAGAACAGTTCAAAAGCAGAAAGTTTCACCTCAGATCTGGCAGACTGAGCCAAAAGGTAAATTCAGCTCAAGCAAATACCAAATCAAGGCAAGGAAAGAATCAGATATGTTAGGAGGGTGCTCTAGTGTGGTTTGCTGCTTCTTTCCAATCAAACATCTATTGTCCTTATCTCTTCTTCTCCTTTTTTGTTTGTTACTCTCATGTAATACCTCTAATCTTCAGCACTTAAATGACCTCACTGTATTGCAAGCGCCATAAAACTTTTGCTAAAACAAAACGATACCAACTCCTCAGTGTAAGATTCCGTCATACGTCATTTTTTCAAGTGGCACATGGCAAAGTCTTCTGCTCAGCAGTTAAAATGCTAATTATTCTTCAAGACAAACACCACAAATCACAGGGTTCCTACTCATCAAGAAGTACAAATTTCCTGGGTTGTTTTTTTTCGGTTGCCCCCTAGAATTTGTGACCATTTTCAAAGGGATCTTATTTTTTGATATAACAGCTGGGAGGAGGAAATGAAAAGAAATGCAAGATAAATTTGTAACATAGTCACAGATAGTCCCTTTTCCTAAGTTGTCAAGGACAGGGGTTGTATGAAAATTGTAAGGTAAACAAAGTCGCGATTCCGCCAATTTCATGAAGGGCAGCCCTTTAATTTCCCAGCTGTCTCAAGTATATTTTCGTTTCTATTCATTTTCAAGGTGATTTCTCGATCAGGAAATCTGAAAATGAAAGGCCTGGCTTTTTCTCCTTTTCCCTGTTGAGAGGGAACCCTGAAATCAACATGACCGTCTCTACTCACGAGGTATGGGATAAGCAAACTTATCCGGATGTCCAGTGATGAGGGTGTTCTTAATGTGTCGACGCCCGACCCCGTGTGCACCGAGAAGCACCAAGGTCTTACGCATGAACTGTGGCAGTCGCACAACCTCTTCGTAGGTTACAAGGTCAAGTTGATCGAACACAGCATTATGCTTGGCCAGGTACTTGTCCTTCTTTTTCCGGGCAAACCATGAACAATTGGCTGAAAAAGAAAGCAGAGAATGAACATATTGTAAATCATTCTTTTTGCACTACATTTTAAAACAACATTAAAAGACCTTAATTTCTGGAATGCACATTATTATGTGTTCACTATTTTGGACAGATGTTTTGATTCTGGCATAATGTTGATCAGTCATGGGGAAGCATGTCCACGTCACAGCTTAGATTATGCAATTCTTTTTTGTGAGGCAGCGGGGTGGAATCAGGCTCTCGTCAAAATAATCAAAGTGAAGAAACTTGCATTTTTCTGCAGGTTTGTGAATTTTTATCAAATTTTCGTTTTTTGGCTCAACACCTTTCGTGCCCATTAAAGAACTCATTTCTGCGTGGATGTTTCTGAAAAACACTGATTAAAGGTAAAATAAATGTAAACTTTCAGTTGCCACGGACTCTTACTCTTAAGCTAAGGAAAAAACTAATCTTTGGCGGCCATTTTCTCACTAATGTTACCTCTGAAAACAGGTGACCCCACCTCCTTCATTCGCAAATATCTCGACTTGTATTCAAGATAAACGGGTATTTTTTTCATCCAAATAAAGACAGATGAACACGCTTTAAGATGATACCAATAAATCTACACGCCCAAAAATTGACAAGAGCCTGATTCCACCACGCTGCCTCACCTATATATCTTGCAGGCCATAAGTAGGAGAAAATGGGTGAAATTGGTTGACCAAGCTCTCAAAAGTGAGACAAAAACTGACACTTCAGCATATTTACGTCATAAGGGCATTTTATGCGATAAAAATCTCTGGATTGATAACAACGACGACATGAGACAACATATAAGATCAACTGCTTCTAGCAGGGCAGGAAACTATTGATTGTAATAGTAAAGAAGGAGAGTTTTGTTTTGATTAATTATCACCTCATCGAGGGCCACATTCATTATTAATTACAGATTCGACTCGCAAGCCACACTGAAACTGCTCACAAGTCGGGTCTTGCCCGCAATCTGTAGTCTGCTCATGTCTGATGTAGAAGGGTCTATAGGTCCAAAATAAAGGTCTGAATATTTGACCTTCACCAGCTAAATATATTCGAAGGTTCAAAATAAATCTCTGCAAAATCGACTTTGCTCAACTAGATGCATTCGTAGGTTCAATATAAGTACGCATCCAACTGAACAGCGAAAGGAAAGATGGCTCTAGTGTTTCTTCTTTGTCAATGAAAAGAACATCAACGCTACAAACAAGAAAAGCCTACAATACCATTTTTTTTTTGGAGTAAAAAAAGCATATCGACACAATAATGGCTATTTAGTGCTGGGAAAAGTAAGACACAGACAGATCCTACAATATGAAAAGTGTCAGCAGTTTTACTAACAATTGCCTCAAAACTTCAAGTTCCTTTCAGAATTTCACAGATCTTAGGGGGTTCAATCAAGTTTGGGAGATTTCAACAAACTGGGAGGATTTTATCAAACTGAGTGCGAGATTTCATCAAACTAACAAGGGTTGCTCATTTGTCAACTGATCAAATAGATTCAATCATAATGATCAGACAGGATCAGAGCAAGAAAAGTCCAATAATCTATCGAGCCTACCTGCATGCTCGTGTTTGGCCCTCTCGATGGCTGCGCAAGCTGTCCTCCACTCCTGCAGCTCAGGGGAGGGAATGAGGCCGGCAGGCCCCGAGCTCTCGTTGTCCCATTTCTTGGCCTGCCACCAGTCCGAGTCATCTTTGCTTATGATCTAGGGATGAGGATGATAGACCATGACGGCGATGGCTGATTTATGATGATGGTGATGGAGGTGGTGATGGTTGGTGATGATGATGATGATGATGATGATGATGATGATGATGATGATGATGATGATGATGATGATGATGAATGATGATAACAATGACTGGTGATGATGATGATTAATTAATATGATGATGATGATTAATTAATATGACGATGATGATGATGATGACGATGTAATGATGATGATGATGATGATGATGATGATGATGAGGAGGAGGAGGAAGATGAGGAGGAGGAGGAGGAGGAAGAGGAAGAGTCGGAGGATGGGGGTGGATGAATAAACTCATTGATGCTGAGACTTACTCGCAATACGTCTCCAACTCTGAAAGGCACCCCGGCCTGGGAACAAGGAATGAGGTCATCGTCTCGTGGGTCATAATTAAACAACGCCCGCACATAAATCTGAAAGAAATAAAGAAGTTTTTGGTGTTAAGGCATATTTAGTACCTAAGTATATCATTCCCTCATAGCTTATACAGATAAGAGCTCGTTATATATCAATTTATGATAACAGTTCTTCAGCCTATAAATGAGAATATCCCTTACTTGACAATGATTAAAAATTCCTGAGGGGAACTGATTTGTTTTAAGAGGTTGAACAGCATTTCAACCTCACATATTTTGATACGCTTGAAAACTTTAACTATTTCTACATGTAGCTTAGAAGTTTAAAAAGCACTTGGACAGTTACGTTATACAGGTAGTGGGAAGTTCATCTCACTCAGGCTATCATTGTACTGGTAAATCAGAATAAGTCTCTACTGTCTCTCAAATAAATGACACAATCATGGATGGTTTTTTTTTTCACAATCTGAAAATGAGCGAGAATTGCTCCAGTTTAAACAATATTGGCGACAGTAAATACACTATAATGTAATTCATTATTTTGGAATGGCCTTACGTAATGCACAAGACAAGTCTGAAAAAGTCTTTATTGAATTTTTCAGAAATATAAGACAACTTCCAGAGAAACTGATTTGATCTAAGATTTTAAAAATGCTTTTAAAACAGGTAAATATAAGTGACAGTTCAGCTAGAAAAAGCGACGTGGAGAAAAGAAATCAGTTTTGTTTCGTAAAAAAGGTGAGAAATAAGAACTTTAAAATTCAAATAACTTTCTGGTGAGATAAAAATAAATAACACAGTATAATATGCATCAACATTTCTGAGATTCTTTCGCAAGAATAGGTCTGGGTAATCTCACGGCTGTCTACAGAAATAAGTTACACAAATTGCATGCGGGTAAAAACAGTCCACAGACATTTCCAATGCAATGGAGAGCTGCAACACAAAAGAATAAGATGATATGACAAGCGCTGGAACATAGGTAAAAAAAAGATTACATATATAAATGTATTAACACACAGGCGTACACACAAATATAATATAGGTGTGTATAAGAGTACACACACATACACACACACACACACACATA